GCTGCTCTCTGGGACCTGCAGGTAACTGGCCTGCTCGCCGCTCATCCTCCTGCAGGCTGCTCTGGGCCTCTCACAGGTTTGGAGAGGGAAGACATGAGGCTGGGGTAGGTGTTCGGTGCGGCAGTTAAGACACCCAACTCCCATATCTGAACGCCTGGGTTCCAGGCTATTGTGGACATTTGGGAAATGGACTGATGGATGGAAGATCCATCTACGTCTGTAAATCTGTATCTATTGATCCATATCTATCTATCATCTATCTATATCTACCATTTATCTCTTTTTCCCTCTCTCTGTTTGCCGTTCAAATAAATGCTTAAAAAGATTTAACGAAGAACCTCTTGACGTTCAGAATTGTTTCCCCCACATTCTACTGGCCAAGGCAATGCAGCTGACTAACCAAGCTTCTGGGAGGAGCTAGCTCCGTGGTCACCTTACAGGAAGCAGTGGTACACACAGAGAGGTACGTGTGAGCATTTTTGGGAGCAGCTGATGACAGTGCTACCAATGAGGGGACACCTGGGACAGGAACCAGGTCTCTCGATTCCCAGTGCAGGGACTCCCACCTCTGCTGCCTGCTCTGCCATGTGGCACCATCAAGAAAGCCTGTCACTGTCCAGATGGAGCCACTGCTGCATCCCCCATCCTGTCCCCCTCCCACTGTCCATCCTCTCTGACCATATCCCAGATGGCATCACTACTCTGTCTTCCATCCACCGGTCAGAGGTGGCCAGCCACCTTAGGAGGTGGAAGCCAGGCCGCACACAGGGTCAGCCACACACAGCCTCCATGTGCACCACAGGGTGGGGTCCATGTCCCCCTGGTTCTCAGAGTCAGGAAATCCACACAGTGCACCTGGCAAGCCCTCAGCCCCAGCCATCCACAAATAAGCTCATTAAAACCCCCTGACGCGGTGTTTTAGACCATCACAAGACACACAGCGCTTCCGGGTCGCCTGGGCACGCGCTCCTGCCCACATGGAAGAGGCTGGAGGCCGAGGCCCAGCTGGGTCCCTCTGGGCCAGGGGCTGCTGGGTCTCATTTGCATTCGCAGTTTGATTGGCTCATGTGTATTCCTCTTGAACTCTGGGCCAGACAGCCTGTCCTGGGGTGGACGCAGCCACCGCAGGGCCCCAGGGGAAGATCAGCCTCTTCTGTTCCATTCTGTGCATGTCCGGCAGGTGCAGAGGGCCTTGACCGTGCCGGCTGCCCTCTCTGTCCGCCCAACGCAGGCTGTTTTCTGGTTTACGTTTGCACTCCCTTCCTGGGGTCCCTGTGGTGAACCCCAATTTTTTCCACTGCAGCTGGCACGGAGTGGGTACCCAGGAAACAGCTACTGCACGGCTCAGTGGGCAGAAGGCTGGGTTTCATTCCGCTGTGCCCCTCAGGAAGGGCCCACCGCCTGCACTCCTTTTCTGACCCAGGGTCTGTGTTCCTCCTTGGTCTTGAGGCCTGGTGGAAAGGACACTGAACACAGAGACTCAGGCCTTAGGGGCTACAGTTTTCCTCCATGAACTGTGTGGCTGTGGACAGGAAGCGGCCGCGTGCAGTTGCCCAGGTTGCTTACTGCAACTCCTGCGGGAACCGTTCATTCAGACTGCAGTGTGAATGACTCCTCCTGGCTTGGTGTGGACTCTACAGCCATACAGGTTGGGGGGGGGGGGGGAACAGTCACGTGTGCCCTGCTGGGAGGCGCAGGGTCAGGGCTCGCACTAAACGACGATGCTGACCGGGAAGGGGGCTGAGTGGCAGGAAGATGCACCTGTCCCAGGCCTGCTGGGGCCCACAACGCCCCGGGGCAGAGGCTCCCAGCAGCCTCTCCTCGGCGCCGCCCCCTCTTTGCCTGCTGTGAGCTGTGCCCGGCCCGTCTTTCCTGGCGGCCTGGCCGGGGACCCACCTGCGCTGGCCTCCCCTTCCTCTCTGTTGCTCCTCTGGAGGCTCCGTAGGGTTTGGGTCTCTCCTCCCACCCCACCAGACCCCACTGACCCCCAGGTGGGCTCCTGGGCAGCCTCCCCCACTGGAAGAACTTCAGACCCCACATCCTGAGGGCCTGCAACCTCTGAGCCAGCACCGAGAGGACCCGCTGCCGGCATCACAGTGGCCCCACCCCCAGAAGCCCTCTTGCAGCCCCCCACCATCATTACCTCCCCACCAGTCCCTCTGCCCTCTGGTTCCTGCCCAGCCACCCCCCACCCCCGCATCCTGCCGGAAGCCCCTTCCTGCCCCAGAGGCTGCTGTTTGAGGCATCGAGGCAACCTTGGGGGGAGGGGAGGGGTCTTGGCTCTGGGCCTGGCATTCCGGAAGGCAGGTGCCGGGGAAATGACATCAGTGGGAGAGCCAAGGATGGGGGAGTGTCTGCTGAGGGCCCCCCTGTGCCAGGCTGCACCCAGACTCTGGCCTGCCCTGGGGGGCTCATTCCTGGCCTGGGAGAGCCGTCCCTAGGGCCCAGGCGACAGGTGACATCACAGGGTTCCCACGGGGTGCAGATGAGACGGCGCAGGTGCGGCAGTGGCCCCAGACCCAGGTGAGCAGGCCCTGCTTTGATTTCAGCTGGGAAAGGGCTCCCCCGGGGGTGGGGGGGACTGCTGGAGGGGGAGGGGCCTGAGTGATGGCTGCCCCGCCCCCTTTCCTGTTTGCTCACTTGCTGCTCATTCTTCCACTTCCTTCCACAGGATGGGGCCTCAGCTGGGCCCCAGGGGTCTCCCGGCACAGCTGGGTGTGGGCTGAGCTGGCAGCCATCGGGGGTCAGCGCTGTGGGCCCTGTGTATTGGCGGTGGGGGGGAGGGTTGATGTGCGTGGCTGTGCCGTGTGTGTCCAGGCTGGTATGCGAGATCCCCAACGCTCAGTGCCACACCTGCATCACGTGGGCAGGGGCTTGGGCCTGGTCAGTGCTAGGGTCTTCCTTTTGAAGTTTGTGAGACCAACACATTTTAAAAAAAAAGATTCATTTATTTGAAAGGCTGAGTTAGAGAGAGAGACAGAGAGATGATCTCCCATCCGCTGGTGTGCTCCCCAGAGGGCTGCAGCAGCCAGGGCTGGGCCAGGCCAAGCCAGGAGCCAGGAGCTTCCTCTGGGTCTCCCACGTGGGTGTAGGGGCCCAAGCACTTGGGCCATCCTCCGATGCTTTCCCAGGCGCATTAGCAGGGAGCTGGACCAAAAGTGGTGCAGCCGGGATTTGAACCCGCGTCCACATGGGCAGTGGCCTAACCCATTCACCATGATGCCGGCCCCCAGGGCTGGGTTCCTAAGAGGTTAGAACTGGGCCTGGCACAGGCCTATCAGTTCTGCACCGGGTGAATGAATGAATGAATAAATGGATGAACCTTTAATCCAGGGGTTTGAGGACCCCAGCAAACAGCCAGACATTTGCCCGAGGCAGGACTTTGTCCTGGGGCAGGGGCAGGAGGTGGCGGCAGCCCCAGCCCGGGGAACAGCCCTGATGGCTGGAAGCTCGTGTCATCAGTGTCTCCCCACACCCTGCTGCTCTCAGCCCAGGGATCTCACTCCCTGGGAGACCCTGAGCCTTTGACCTTGAACCTGGGAGACCTTGCCCACCACGACCACCTGCAGCTCAGACAGAGAAGAGGGACGTGGGGGTTCCCCCACGCTGGGACGGATGGGGCATCCCAGTCTGCATGTGTGTGTGTGTGTGCACACCCGCAGTGAGCAGCAATGCTTACGCACAGGGCCACGACAGTTACTGAGCCTGGCCTCTGTACCACCTCCATTGTCTCTGCAGCTGGGAGCACCGTGGGATGAGCGAGGCACAGGGAAACACCTGGTGCAGCCCGGCTCTGGGTCCCGGGGCGCCTGGCACATTGCAGTGGCCCGCAAGCCTACATGTGCTCACACATTCGCTTTGCCCCATTGTGCTCTATGTGTTAACCCATATATTTCCTTTGTGGGGTAAGGCAGGTTATAGACGAACCACAGTGGGAGTCCCAGCCTGGCCCCAGCCCCTGACCCACCCCGGCCTGGCCCCAGCGGGCTGTGCCTGGGGGTCAGCCGCCCTCCCGCTCCCCCTGCAAGTCTCTGGGAAGAAGTGAAGTAGGTTCAGGTGGGGAGAGCGGGGTGACCTCCTTGCTGAGTGGAAGGTCCTCGGCCAGGCCCCAGCTGCACCCCAGAGCTCTCCAAGGAGCCAGTCTGTGGCTCCGGGTGCCAGCTGCCTGAGAAGCCGAGCCGTGGGATTCAGGAAGAGCCTCGGGGCTGAGCAGTGCCCGCCTCCTCCCCATTCCAGATCTGCTGTGTCGGAATCCCGAGCCCTGGAATCTGCACTTTTACGCCAGCTCCAAGTGGGGCTGCCAGGGTGCCTGCCCGAGCCTAACGCCGGAGCTCTGCCAGGCTCCTAGACCAGGGCAACAGCGCCCTCTGGTGGTCCCTTCTGAAACACCCTCGTCCGCCGTCCAGCCAGCCTGGCCACACCCAGGAGGCAAAAGTCCCTACAGCGCCCTTCCCTCCTGCTCCTCTTCCTCCAGGGACCCGGACAGGGGAGAGAGGAGGATCGAGCGGAGCAAGAAACCTCCCAGATTTTAGGACCCTGGGCAGGGGGCACGACGGGGCCCAGCCATACCTGCTGTGCACAGAGCTTCCTCGGAGGCCCCCGGGTTCTGCACACCTCACTCCAGCCTGTGGCTTTAGTATGAACATGTTGGCTCCCCCCACATCTGTGCAAAAGCCAGATGCTCTACAAAGGTAGGTCAAGTTCATCCTGGGGCCTCACTGCCCACCCTAACCTTGCCAGCCCACTTTCTGCACGCCTTCTGGGGTCACCTGCGCCCCAGGGCCAGAAGCAGCTGGCTGAGCGCTATGCTCTGCACCTGTCCCAACACCCAAACAGACAAAGCCCAGGCACCGGGGCGGCAGGCGGGCCAGAGCCCGACCACAGTGCTCTGCGTGTAGCAGCCTGGAGGCGGCCGGTGAGACCCTGGGCCAAGGCCGTCCCTCCCCCCACTGCTCTCACCCTCTCCTCCGGGCAGCAGGTCCCCTGTGTCTCAGGCTGGATTGTTACAAATCCGCTTTAATAGTCAGTCTGCAAGACTTGAGGACGGTTAACAGAACTGTGCACTCACGGCCCCGCACTCACGGCCCCGCCCCCACGGCCCCTCCTGGGGCGGGGGTAGGGGTGGGGCAGAGGACAGCTCACCAAACCAACCGGGAGAAGGCAGACTTCCCTCTTGCCCTGGGCAGCTCTGGGCCACGCCCCCTGAGGGCGCACCGTGTGCAGAAGCTGCCCAGGCCAGGTCCCTTGGGGCCCGGCCCGCACAGTGTGGCCTGGGGAAGGGGATCTGCCACTGGATCTCAGGTTAAGCCCACCCCCGCCCCTCCCTTCAATAACAAAGTGAAAAACCAAAGGTACAAGTGTCGGAGTGGGAGCCAGGACCACTTGGCCAGTGGGCAGTCCCCTGACCCCCGGGTGGGGTGGGGTGGGGGCTTCCCCACCCTCCCCCACCCTTTCCCTGGGTGACAGCCACCTCCCGGGAGCAGGTGGACATCCAGGCCACCTGCACAGGGGCGCTGCAGGGGGCCTCTCTGCTGAACGGCCAAGAGGACCCTGGCAGGCAGTGAGAAGAGGGACCACAGGACAGCCGGAGCCACAGCCAGCAGCAGAGAGGCGGAGGGAGAGGACCAGGTCCCAGGCAGTCCCCAACCTCCAGCCAGGGCAGGAGAGGCCTTAGCAGTGAGGGGGGAGGGGGCTTGGGGGAGGGGGCCGGGGAGAGCCCCGGGGAGTCCTGAAGGCGCCGTCCCAGCCTGGAGGTGGTGACCCAGCCGCCTCAGTACTTGGGGACCTTGCTGTAGTCCTCGGAGTGGATGTGCCGGCACAGGCACACGGACAGCAGCATCCCCAGGAGCTGTCGCGAGAGGCGGAGAATCAGCCCGGCGACCCGGCCGCCCACCCGCCCGGCGCCCCAGAGCCCCGCCGCCCCCTAGCCTCGCACCCGGGTTATGATCTGGATTAAACCGGACACGACCACTGTGTGACGCAGGCAGCCGGGGGAGGCCCAGAGAGGGACAGCGCCTCATCTGAGGCCGCACAGGCCGCTCAGCGGGGGGGTGGTGGTGGGAAGCAGTGGGGGAGGGGCCAACTCGGAGGCAGGAATCGCTCATTACACGCAAAGATTGTCCCCAGTTTATAATACTACCTTTCTTGCCCTTACTCCAAGAAGCCTGCAGGGAAAAAAACGGCGAGTCACTTTTTTTCCGACACGGGGCCACCCTCGCCCAGGCCGATGGCGGCCCCGAACACCCCAAGGGAGGAACCCCGCACGCACCGCCTGGTACACGGGCCAGTCCTCCGGGCTGTTGCCGCTCTGGGTGCTGTTGCCGTCGGCCTGGCAGAAGCCCTGTCCCACCGGCAGCCCGTCGTCCTCGCCCCCCTTGTCCTCGCAGGAGCAGGGGTAGGTGACTTCGGTGTGATTCATGAGCTCGGCGTTGTCTGTCCAGTTGTAGAAACTGACCCAGCCGCAGCACCGCACCTGCGCAGGGCGGGGACAGGCTGCTTCACCCTCTGCCCGCCCCAGGGCAGCCCCCCCCCCCCGGGAGGGTTTAGAGGGTCTAGGATTCGGGGCTCTGAATCCACCTGCCGCCCGAGCAGCCTGGCTCGAGGCACTGGCCTCTGTTTTCTTATTTTTTTTTTTTTCTTTTGTTTTTTTCTGCGACAGGCAGAGTGGATAGTGAGAGAGAGAGACGCAGAGAGAAAGGTCTTCCTTTGCCGTTGGTTCACCCTCCAATGGCCGCCGCTGCAGCCGGCGCACCGCGCTGATCCTGGCAGGAGCCAGGAGCCAGGTGCTTTTCCTGGTCTCCCATGGGGTGCAGGGCCCAAGCACCTGGGCCATCCTCCACTGCACTCCCTGGCCATAGCAGAGAGCTGGCCTGGAAGAGGGGCAACCGGGACAGAATCCGGCGCCCCAACCGGGACTAGAACCCGGTGTGCCGGCGCCGCAAGGTGGAGGATTAGCCTATTGAGCCACGGCGCCGGCTCATGGCCTCTGTTTTCTTATCTGTGCAATGACCCCGTCTGTAGCCCTTGTAATGGCCCTGCAAGACTGAATGGGGTGAGGCAGGCAGAGCGCCTGGCACGGGTATGCCACCCGCCTGTGGCACCAGCTGCTTCGCTCGGGTCCCTGGGGGAAGGGGACGGGGCGGCGCGGGGGAGCTGCCAGCCCAGGTGCCCAGCAGGGCTCCCCGGGTGGATGGCTTCCTAGCGTTACATCCCAGCCCCAGTGGCCAGCAGGGGGCGTGCCAGCCACGTGCAGCGAGGCCAGCCCGGCGGCCAGTGGCCAGCAGGGGGCGTGCCAGGCACGCTGACGGATGCTGGGGCTCCAGGCAGTCTCTTAACCCACGTTTCATTTCTCGCTACCCAGCTGTCTGGGAGGAGCTCACCGGTTAGCAGGGCGCGGGGCACCCACCCATCGGCTCTCTTCCACCTGGGGCAAAATGAGCCAGCGCTCCTGGGCTCTTCCAGGACACGGAGCACTGCCCTGCTTTCCAGGGGCCACAAACGGAAGCACCAGGAGCCCTGCAGCTGCCCCCTAGCCAGGTCCCCGGAGCACAGGACTGTGGTGTGGGCTGGGGGAGGGGAGCTGGCGTGGGGCACGGAGAACAGAGCCCGACTCTCACGGATGCAGGGAGCAGGGCGCCCCGCCCCCACGGCCGGCGCCTGTACCTGAGCCTGCACGTAGTCCCAGGCCTCCTGCAGGCTGTCCTCGCCGCTGGCGTTGTAGTTCCGGATGATCTCGGTCACGATGCCACCCATCTCCTGCTTCAGCTGCAGCGGGGCGGCCACGGGCCGGGGTCAGGGTGCCGCTCGGCTCACGCCTTCCCACACTGTGCCGCACCCTGTCCTGCCCCCTCTTCCCCGCACACAACCCTGGGGGCAGGCTCCCAGCTCACGAGCATCCACGGTTCGTTCTCCACCCTCCCCCTGGCGCCTGCGGGGCGCCCGACGCGGTCAGTGCCAGCCACTCCTGACCTGCTGCGATCCGCACCCAGCAGCCATGTGCCCCTTTAACCGGGAACCTGCCCCAGCCTCTCACCGCCCCCAGGGACACAGGAGGCAGGCGTGGGGTTCTCGGAGGCCTCAGGCCCAAGGCCTCGCCCTGGCACCCTGGGCAGTGGTTTAGGAGCAAGGATGCTGTGTAAAGGGAAGCAAGTCCGCAGCCGGCCCCCGGCGCCCAGTGCGGGGCCTCCCTGAGCCATCAGCCTGGCTTCAGAGAGCGAGGCCCGGCTCGGCTCCACCTGGCCAGCTGCATCCATCTGGATTCGGCCAGCTCCAGTGGAGTGCCTGCTGTCTACCCGGTGCTGTGGCGGGCACGTTTTGATGCACGGCCCCCATTGAATTCTCTGGCCCGGGTGCTGAGCCTGATCCCTCATTCCAGAGATGCAGAAAAATACAAGCCCAGAGAGGTTTATCAATTTGTCTAAGGCCACACAGCCAACGAGGGGATGAGCTGAGGCTTGGACCCAAGCTTCTCCCCGCTGTGCTGCATGGGCATTTAGAGCACACGGCTGCAGCCTGAAGCAGGTCCCCCAATTCTGCAGTGGGGCCCAGGGGAGCTAAGCGGTTTGCCCGTCATCTGGAGGTCTTGGGTCTTTTCTCCTACCAACCATTTCGGCTCCACCCCGAGCGGACAGTCCCTGGGGTGTGCCAAGGAGGGGTCCCCCAAGCAGCGGGGTGCAGAGCCACCTCTCCCACTTCCTTCCTGCCCACCCCGCTCCCTTGCTGCCCCTGTCCCAGGCTCTATTTTGGGCCGGCGTGGCTGACACCGCAGCCCACACTTCCCTGTTCCCCTCCCAGGCCCCCGAAATGAGGTGGTGATGGAGGCTGGGTGGTTTCCACCGGTGGTTTCCATGGAAACCCCACATCCTCCTCCTCCTCCTCCTCCGGGGCCCTGGGACCATGGCCATGGGGGCTGCTTTGGCCCGGATGGCGCTGAGGCCCAGGGCGCCTGTACGGGGGAAGCCACTGTGGGCTGGGGAGGTCACTGGTTCTATCTTTCTGAAATGGCAGCTCCTTCCATTGGCGGTCACCACCCTCCATCACCCCAGGCGAGATGTCGGTTAGCGCCGTCCACACCCTGGTGCAGTGAGTGGCTCAGGGGTGGGCTGTGGCCCTCTCGTTCTGCTAACGCCATGGCTGTGGGACGAGGACCTGAGGCACGGCCCCAGAATGCAGCCAGTGCAGGGATGGTGGGGTGGGTGGGGTGGGTGCCCCGGCTGAGGATGCACAGAGCCCCCCGCCTCCCGCCCTGCGTCAGCTCCAGCCCCTTCCAGCTGAGAGCTGTCACCACCAACAGGGAGCTCCGCCCAGCCCGGTGCAAAGTGAAATTCCAGGGGCCTTGTTCAAAAATGCGTGATTTCCAGAATGTCCCTGGCCACCGCAGGTGCGGGTGCCCAGACCTCTGCCCGTGCTCTTCACCCTACCGTGGCCGATCGCCCCTCAGCACTGGGCCCCCCAAAGGTAGCATCACGCACCCCCATCTTCCCACGGCACCACGGGGCCAGGCCCTGCCTCCGCCACACACGCCCCCCCCCATTCCCCTGGAGAGAAACTGGGGCTCAGAGAGCTGTCGCAGCTTCCCCAGGTCACACAGCCAGCGACCGCAGGGCCCAGCTGCCACCCAGATCGGTGCAGGTCCACCAAGCCTCCCGCTGCCCCACCTGCCCAGAGGCCGGGCCAGGCCCCCCAGGCAACTGCACTGAGCCCCACCCCAGAGCTGTGCTTTCACACTCAGAATTTGAAGACATCTTTGCCTCTGGCGCATCAGACTTTTCCAGGCTCTGCTTGAGTGCTCCCTGCAGTGGGTAGCTCAGTACCTCACGTAGTGGCACCTGGCAGGGCTGGGGGCCCTTGATACAAGGGGCTGGCTTGAAAAGGTGCCCAGGGGGCTTCTACCTTCCCACAGGCATTCCTGTCCCCTCCCCCAACCCACCAATCCTGGCTGGCACTGCTCAGGGCACCCCTCTCCCCAGAGGGAGCACCCAGGTGTCGGAGCCTGGGTCCCACCTCTTCCCCCAGGAGAGCCTGCCAGGTGAGCCCCTCTGCTCCTGGAGATGGCGTCCTGACCCCCCCCCCCGAGAACGGGGTCCCCAGATGCCATGTGACGGATCCACGTCCTGCCCTCCTCCCCCCAGGCCCTCTACAGGCGACCACGCCAAAGGTTTTGCTGGGAGACTGTGGCCCCCTTCCAGATGGGAACCAGGGGGAACCACTGCCAATGGCAGGGCATGGGGTGCAGACCCCAAGTCTCTTCTGAGAGCCTGGCTGCACCCCCTAGACTCCCACAGCACGGCCCCCCGCAGCCCTGCCAGGCCCCCCCGGGGGAGGCTTTGAGGCAGGTGCCGGGTCCCGCAGAGCCGGGTCCCACAGAGCCGGTTCCCCGGCAGGAACTCCGTCCGCTTCTCCCCAATCCCTTTCCAGACGGGCAGCCTGGGCGCCTCCCACTCCCTTCCCAGAAGGACAGAGAAAAGTCCCTTGTCCCTGTCCCAGGCTCAGCTGTCCCTCCCACGGCCCGCCCGTGGGGACCAAGCCAGCAGACCAGGGAGTTCCCGTGCAGCAAGCGGCCAGCACACAGAACGCTTTGTCCCTGGGAGCCCGTCTCGCCACCTGCGGCACGAGGCCATGCGTGCACCTGCTGCGCTGGGCTTCCTGGGTGGGAGGGGGCGTGGGGAAAGGAGTTCCCAGTTCTCCCGGCTGCTCACTGGGGAGCAGGACAGCCCAGCCGCTGGCACCACCCTTCCCTCCAAGCTCCCAGCCCTAGAGCCTTCTGCTTGCACCCCAGGCAGAGGCTCACGGAGCCCCCACGGCCCCACCTGCCCAGGTTGTTGGCTGGGTCAGCGGTACGGCTTGCGTGAGGGCACTGTGCCCATTACATCCTAGGAGACGCTACCGCGCCTCCTTCCCCCCGCCCCTCCCGTGAAGCTGACAAGGGTGGCAATGACGCTGAACTCTCTCGGTGACGCTGCAGATGCCTGGATGGTGTCGTCCTCCCTCCCACTCAGGTCCCCTCTCGTGGCCGAAGTTCATTTTGGGCTGCACAGTGTGTTGCCGGTTTCAGAAGGGCAGACGGGCGGCAGCGGCCCAGCATTTGCCAAAGCAGGACATCGAGGCCCAGGGGCCTCAGAGCAGGGGCTCCGGCGTGGCCCTCGGCCGGCAGCTCTCATCAAGGGGCGTCACAGCCTCCGTTCGCATTGGCCCTCGCTCCTCGGTGGACAGAAGTGGAGCTGCCAGCTCCGTGCCTCGCCCAAGGCCACCAGCATCCCCGCTTGCCCCCAGGGTGCGGGCAGGGTCCAGCTCAAGGGCAGCCGGGAGACCCCCTTCCGGGGAGCCCAGGAGCTCGCTCTACCCTCCCGCCCGGCAGGCCCATGGCCAAAGCCGGGCCCTTCGGCTTCCCTGGGGCATCCCGCCTCCCAGCTGGACCTCAGCTGCAGGGACAAACAGCACCCGGGGAATGTTTAGTCTCTCCCCAGGATTTACAGCGTGCTGGTGAAGACACGCTAAATCACCCAGCCCAGTGGCACGGGGGCTTCCCCTGCACCGCCTGGAAATTTCTTCCTGCTGCCCTGGAAACGGAGAGGGCCACGGTGGCTGGCTGTGGCAGGGGGAGTGAGCTGTGCAGCCTGGGGCTGGTGGGGGCTCTGTGGCTTGGCCAGGTGGAGACCTCCTGGTCCCTGGGGGTAGGGGTGGGGTGCAGCAGCGTGGAGTAGGGACAGGTTAGGATGGAAATCTCCACTCGGATGCCTCCGAGCTGGTGTGGCCGCAGCTAAGAGGCACTGTGTGCGGCTGGGCCTCAGTTTCTTTTCTTTTCTTTTTTTCTTCTTTTTTTTTTTTTTTAAACAGGCAGAGTGGACAGCGAGAGAGAGAGACAGAGAGAAAGGTCTTCCTTTGCCATTGGTTCACCCCCCAGTGGCTGCTGTGGCTGGCGCGCTGCAGCTGGCGCACTGCGCTGATCCGAAGCCAGGAGCCAGGTGCTTCTCCTGGTCTCCCATGCGGGTGCAGGGCCCAAGCACTTGGGCCATCCTCCACTGCACTCCCTGGGCCACAGCAGAGAGCTGGCCCGGAAGAGGGGCAACCGGGACAGAATCCGGTGCTCCGACCAGGACTAGAACCCGGGGTGCCGGTGCTGCTAGGTGGAGGATTAGCCTATTGAGCTGCGGCGCCGGCTCAGTTTCTTAAATTGGCAAGTGTCAGTAAAGCTGAGAGGTGTGGCAAGTTACCAGCTTGGGACCCGGCCCGTGGCCGGTGCCTGCACAGACAGTGGCACATTCTTTGGGGCTGCGGGACAGTGAGTCACACAGGGGACGGGGTGGGCGGCCAGAGGTCCCTACCGAGGCCAGCAGCTTCTGAGTCATGGGGGCTCAGCTCCCAGGGCCAGGCCCCTCCCCTCGCAGCTGACGGGGTGCCCGAGAAGCCGCAGGCAGCCATGAAGAGTGGACCCCGCAACCCTCTTGCTGGAAACAAGTTTCCCTTCCCTAACCGCTGGCTTCCTGTCCAATAGCCAGATGAGCGTCTTCATCTACCAAGTCCTCTACTTCCCCCTTTGCCTTGCCTGCCAGGAAGCTCAGGGCTCAATTTAAACCCTGCAGGGCCATGCGTATCTTGGGTGTAGACGATACATAAGCAAAGCAGCTTCAGACAGGTGCTAGCACAATGCTTGTTTCCTGGCCCTGCCGCTGACCAGCTGTGAGAACTGGGGCAGGCTCCTTCGCCTCTCTGGGCCTCAGCTTCCACATCTGAAAATGGGTATATGAGTACCCGGAGTCGCACAGCATTGGCGGACGAATAACCACATGCATTGTGTGCTGAGTGCTGTTAGCACCAGGCCTGCCTTGTCTTGCAACGACCATTAGGGGTCGCTGTTGATACTGTGTTTGCTCGGCTCCCTTCCAAGCAGGATCTGAGACCAAAGGCAGGAGCCCGTCTGGCCACCCGCTGTGCTCTGCTAGCCCCTTGGGTGGGCAGGCACTGGTAGCCGGTGCTGGCAGCCGGCCCTGGAGGGAGGCAGGACCCCCAAGGCTTAGCTGGGCCACGGACAGCAGTGCAGTGGAGTGCAGGCAAGGGTGGGCTCCGGCCTTGGAGCCATCTGTGGGATGGAGCTTCTCCCACGGCCTGGCGGTAACCTGGGCAGGGCCAGCGGGAGGACGAAGCTGAGAGAGTGACCCACCCTGTCCCTGGCAGCTGATGGCTGCGCGGGGCCAGCTGCCCGGAGGGTACAGGCTCCGGTTACCACTATCGACGCGCCTGTCACTCATCTCCCGGAGCAGCTGCTTCTCCACCTGCCAAGGCAGAACTTCACCAGCAGAGCGGTCGTGTGGATGAGACAGTGTCTCTAGAGCTTCTAGAAGATTCTATGGCACGCACAGCCGCTCCGGACAGGATCATGGGGACAGTTGCAGCTGAGTGTGGCCCACCCAGCGGTCTTCCCCGGGGCCCTTTCCCTCCTGTGCTCTGTCTTCACAGTCAAATAGTCACTTCCTCAGCCGCCCCTGGAAACCCCGTCCTGGGAAGCCAGAGCAAGGGCTGTTGGGTTTCTACTCTCGCAAGCTGGACAGCTCCCCTCCGACACAGGACTCACGATTTAACAACAGGCTCCTCCCTGGGCCCCAGTGACGCATGGGTCCCCTGGATGTGACGCTTCCCAAGGTCCCTTAGCAACAGCAAGATGGAAGAACATTTCCTGAACCGTTACCATGCCACGCGCGCCTGTGCTAAGTGTCTCACGGAGATGGTCTCCCCAAGTGCATAGGACAACGCCGTCTCCCTTGTACCGACAGCGATGCAGGCACAGAGAGGGCAGGCAGCTTGGCCGAGGCCACACAGTGAGCAAGTGGCCCAGTACGGTGGGCACGGCTCAGCCCAGCAGTGACCCTGCCTCCGGGAGCTGCCTCCTGAGGATGCGCCCCCTCCAATCCAATCCCACAACCTCCGCCATGCCCGCCCGATCACCCCGACACCCAGGGCCAATCCCTTACGTGTGCGTGCTGGTCTGGGGCAGTGCTGGGGGAGACGGGGGGCTTACCTTGCCCACGTTGAAGTAGAAGAGGACCCCCGCAGTCACCTGGGCGATGAGGATCAGGAGGAGGAAGGCGAAGTACTAGGGACACAGAGCAGGCCTGGCGTGAGACCGGGGGAGAAATGCCCCAGCCAGACCTCGGCTGGACGGGGGAGGTGGGCGGGCGGGCGGGCGGGCAGCGGCTGCGCAGGGGCGGGCACTCACCAGCCCCAGCAGGCAGCGGACCTCGTTGATGGCGCCAAGGCAGCCCAGGAAGCCCATGAACATGGTGACCGCCCCCACGCCGATGAAGATGTAGGCTCCCATCTTGAGCGAGCTGGAGGACGTCTCTAAGGAAGCAGAAGCACGGCCGCTCGTTAGTAAGCCCAGAACCGGTTAGGACAGAGCCTGCAGGCCCAGCAGGTGCACAAAGACCCGGCCCAAGGCTCCGGGTGTGCTCCTCCCTCTCCCTCCTCGGCTTCAAGGTGCTGGGGTCCACCATGATTGCCCCTACCAGCCTCCTGCCACCCGACCGGGAACCGGCTCCCTCGGCCCCTTGCAAGCTACCCGCCCGCTGTGGATGCGTCCCCAGCCTTGACATACGCTGAGCGCACGCCCAGGCTCGACCTCATCTCCTTAGCACTTGCAGAGTGAGACAGGGGCTGCAGTTGGGTCCTGCTGAGCCCCCTGCTGGCCAAACAGTGCAAAAGCCCAGTGAATGCTGCAAGTACTTTTAATTCAACCAACCACCGGCTGGCCGGCAGCCCCTGCTAGGGCCCCCAACAGGACCACTCCCGCCTAGTGCCGGATCACTTTCCTTCTTGTCCAGATCACAGTAAACATCATCACTTCCTGCCCACTCTCCGGGCCTTGGGGGCCTGACCCACCCCGTCTCCAAGTGGCGCGAGCCATGGCCATTTCAAGGGCGGGGTTACCAGGGCCAAGGCTGCAGCTGGGGTTTAGAAATAAGCAGACTCCAGGGCCCTGCACTTGGCACTGCTACATGGGCACATGCACGGATACAGGGGCGAGCCTTGTTCATGCATCCGGGCAGCAAAGCCCTAACTGGGCGCTGTGCTCACGCCTGGGGCAGCAGAAGGCAGGCAGACAAGCCCTGACATCTGGCGGGGGGTGGGGGAGAGACGTGGGGACAACAAGGGAAGAACCCAAGGCACTTTAGAAAGTTCATGGAAATGGGACATCAAGGATAAGCTTATTTTGGTAGTAGTTTTTTTTTTTTTAACCCATGCAGTTCTTTTTATAATGTGAATTTCCAACAAATGTTTGGAAGTATGCTCATCCAGAGTGCATTGACTGATTGCTTATACGAGAGGGAGAGAGAGACGGAAAGAGAAACAGAGAGAATGCATCAGAGAGAGCTTCCGTCCTCTGGTTCACTCCCCAAATGCCAGCAACAGACAGGGCTGGGTCAGGCTGAAGGCAGGAGCCCAGAACTCAATACGAGTCTCCTGAGTGGGGGGCGGGGACCCACACTCTTGAGCCATCACGTGCTGCCTCCCAGGGGGCGCGTGCACAGGAAGCTGGCATTGTGAGTGGAGCCTGCACTAGCATACAGGCTTCTGACGTGGCATGCACGGGTCTCCAGCGGGGTCTTTCCCACGGCGCCCAGAGCCCATCCCTTGTTTGGATTTTCTGGCCGGGTTAAGGGCCATGAAGATCTGAGGGTGGGTTACGCTGGAGACAACCGCAGGGGGCTTGGCCTGAGCTGGAACGGTTAGGGGAGGTGGTCGGAGCGGGTCTCCTCTGAGTCAGCCAAGTGGAGACTGGAGATTGCGGGGAAAACGCCTTCCAGGTGGCGGCACAGCAGGTGCAAAGACCGGAGAGAGGCATAAGCTCCGTGTGTTGGAAGAGGGGCAAGAAGGCGAGAAAGCCGGGTCCAGAGAGGAGCAGTGGCACTCGGGGGGGCGGAGCGAGGGGCCCGACCTACGGCAGGAAACTCTTTCCAGGCTGCTGGTGGGCGGGGACAGAAGTCCTGTGCCTGGCTCCTCCCCGGAAGCCCGGTGGACCCCAAGCTCAGGCCAGTCCGCAGCCCACTGGCTGCCGAGGGCCGTACCCCGAGGTGTGCAGCCCCTAGAACGCCACAGGGAACGCCCTTCCATGTCTTGGCTCAGCCAGCCACAGGTGCTCCAGGGGGCCAGGCGTGGCACCCATGGGGAGGTGGCTGGAGCGCAATGTTCCCTGAAGGAACGCCTTGGAGGACCGTCTTAGGGACACAGCTCCAAAGACCCAGCTGAGAGAAGGCCATGGATCTGCATTTTCAATGAGTGAGGCCAGGAGAGAGAGCGCAGGCCTGGCTGACTGCGACCCCCAACCCCGATGGGGAGGGGAGGGGCTCGGAGAGGCTGAGATCCCCACGCTGGCGGGGGGTGGGCAGGCGGCCATGCGAGCCAGCTCTACTTCCTGGTCACAGACAGAATGTTCTGGAGCTCAGAAAAAATCCTGGCTGACGCGCCCCACTCCCAGGGTGCCAGGGCAGGGCGCCCCCAGGAAGCCAGGGTGGAGGCCCGGCTGGGATGAATGGAGGGAGGGGAGCTCCCCACTCGGGCCCTGGCCGCCCTGGCTCTCAGCAGCCCGCGGCGTGGACAGGGGGAGGCCATCGGCTCCCTTTGCCGAAACTTCCTGGGTTTGGCTTCCTGGGGACTGCTCCCAGAAACAACAAAGCTGGTACTGCCTGCACAGCCGCTGGGTGCCAGCCCTGGGCCAGGCCCTTTGTCAGGCGCGTCCCACACAGTCTGAGCACAGCCGCCAGCTCTGTCTGCGAGGAGCCGGGGCTCAGAGACCCGGGGTTCAGCCCCTGACTTCGATGTCACTCTGGATCTCAGGCTTAGGGAAGGGGCGAGCGTGTGTCCTGGGTGGCCTGTCCCCTGCGCACAGTAGAAAACCCCTGGCTCCTGCCATGCCAGCAGGGAGCAGAGGCAGAGGGCACGGGGCCCAGGGTTAAAGGGGCTGGGGCCCAGCTCTGCTGCCCACACGCTCTGAGCGTGGGCCACCAGGCTCCGCTCCTCTCTGTAGAACGGGACTAAGCCCTGCTTCCGGGGACATGACGGCAATGACACCTGGGACGCAGCCTGCCGAGCGGTCCCTTCTGTCTGGCTGAACTCTCAGTGTGGACTGACTCACGATGACCCCGTGACCTTTGACGCAGAGAGGGGAGGTACCTTGCAGAGCTAGCATCACAGAGCTGGCAGGTGGCAGAGCCCGGATGTGAGCAGGACAGGGTGCTCTACCCCCTCACCGTGCGCTGCGTCAGCATGGGTCACGGGGTAAAGGGGTCCAGGTCACAGCTCTGGGCTGCGCCCTCCACCCCCATTCACATTCCAGCGCCCCTTTAAGTTATCGCCCTTGGACAGCAAGCTACATCTGTGCCTCAGTTTCCTGCTCTGTAAAATGGGACAGTAATGCCCAGGCCCGTGGATTCAGGGATTCGATGCAGGTCAGGAGCTGTGGCTCCCAGCTCAGACCCCTGCTTGCCGTGTGACTCAGCAAGCCACTCCCCCAGCCTCAGTTTACCCTCGCAAACTGTGACCGCGCTGTGAGCAGTGTCCCTGAACCCTGCTGCTGGTGGGATCACCCCAGAAGCCCCTCCCACACAAAGGAGTCGGATCCCTGGGGGTGTTGGAGGGGACCCAGGTGGAAAGGCAGCCCGGGTGCCTCTGGCCAGCGTGAGGCTTAAGACCTGCACAGGGAGCTCCCGCACCCCCGGGGAGCCCTGGGCAGGGTGTAGAGGGCAGATACGCCGCCACGGGCGGGCTGGGCCTGCAGACTTTGCCTTCTGCCCTGGGTGTGGGCCATGGCCAAGGGGGAGTCTGCAGCCAATCAGGGCTGGGGAGAGAGTGTACTGGGAGCCTGGGGCTGCACAGAGCAGGAGGAGGCCCTCAGCACACAGGGACTGAGAGTCCCGGGGGAGCAGGGAGAGGGTGGAGGGCGGGGCCTCCTTGCTTCCGTCTCAGAGGGGCGGCCCAGTCTCCTGGAGCCAGAGTGACAGGTGCGACCCCTCCGTTTTATTCAAATCAAGCAGCTGTCGTGGGCCAGCTGTCTCGGGGCAGCTGCTGGAAGGGGAAGTGAGCCAGCGTGCACTGAGAGAGGGAGTGACACCCTACCTCCGCCTCCCATCTTGGGGAGAGATGGGTGTGGCAAGCCTGGAAGGCTTCCTGGAGGAAACGAAGACCGGGAGAAAGGTACTTCTCACCGTGTCAGGGCTCCAAAGGTCCTCCTTTTGAGGAGGGAGGGCAAGGGCTCCCGTGGTGTGGCCCACCCCTGCCACATGCTGCTCTGATGGATTCACAGCTCTTGGGGTCCGAGGCCTGCACCCGCAAGCCAGAAACTCCAGCAAGAGACGGAAACTTCCCTGAGCCTCTGGTTCTTAGCATGAGAGGCTGGGAAGGAACAGCAGTGCCTGCAGGGCTGCCGTGGGATTAGGCAAAACACGCAGCCCATAATGCATCAGTGAGCGCGGCGCCTGGCACGGTCCCCATCCCCGCACAGGACCTGACAGCCTCCCGCCCCTGCATCGCCCTGGAAGCCGCGGCAGAGGGACCCGACACCGAGGCTTTCCCAACCCAGGTCGCGGCCTAGGGGCCAGGAAGGGAGAAGCGGCCTCTCTCGGCACCCAGTGCTCAAGGGACAATAGCAGCTTTGTTTGGGGAGGGAGAGAAAATTCCTCCTGGAATCCCCTGCCAGGGACCCAGCTGGCTCAGTCCCTGAGCTGGCCCTGTCGCCCCGCCCTCCCCTCCATGGCAGGACGGGGTCCTGGGGGGCACAGGGGTCCTTACGCAGGACAGAGATGAAGCTGCTCCTGTCGGCCAGGATCCAAACCCCGAAGCCCAGGATCACGGCGCCCAGGATCTGCAAGGAGAGGGGGGTGTGAGCAGAGGCCCAGGGGCAGCTGGGAGGCCAAGCTGTCCCAGCTGCCCCTTACGGCCCAGGCCAGGCAGGGGAGGCCACGGGGACATGCAGGGGGCTCCCTCCACCCTTCCTCTGCCCAGGTCTTCAGCCCTACAGTGCAGACAGCAGGGCCATGCGCGGGCAACCCTCCTGCCTCCCACCCCCCTGCCTCCCACCCCGACTGCCATGAGTGCGCCAGCTGAGTCCACCGGCCCAGCCTCCTGCCCAGGGGTGATCTTCCCGCACCCTCCCTCTGCTCCGGTGCAGCTCAGGGCCTGGAAGCTCCCCCAACAAGCCAAGCTTTGGGGAAGACCCTCCCTGAACTTGAACATCCATGTCCAACTTGTCCTCAGATCTCAGCAACAAGGCCACCCTCCCCAGGAGCCTTCCCTGGCAGCCCCAGGCAGAGGAAGGCACCCCTATTCCGTGGCAAATCCTGTGGGGTCCTGGGGCTCACTCTGGCTCAACCTGAGCTCCCCTCCCCAGGGGGAGCCCCAGCCCTGATCCACAAGCCCCCAAGCTGATGAAGGCTGGGCCAGGGCCTGAGGTCCGGGCAAGGCGTGGGGTAGAGGTGGCCCTGTGTCATCCACGACGCTGGCCATCCCCAGGCACTTGGACTGCGCCTGCCTGGTGGACAGCCCATCTGGTGGGTCCCGTCTCAGCTGTCTTCCCATGGCCCTGGGTGCATGGCCAGAGGAGCTCGGCCAGCCTGCTCTGCCCTGATCCGAAACCAGAGCTGGCACCAGGGTGAGGCAGGAGGCACAGGTGCAAAATGCAGGCGGGCACCAGGAACCTCAGCCAGCGAGAGCAACAGTGCTTGGCGGCCATACTTCTTTTTTGAGGAGCAACGTAAAAATTCCACGACAACGCATCGCACTTGGAAATAACAGCTCGAAAGGCTCCCCGTTCCGGATCCTTCCTTCAGCCTCAGGCCCCGCTATGACTCACCTTAGTCCCAGACCCCTTACAGCCCACGGCAGGGGCTTGACTTGACCCCATCTCTCCCCAGAGCCATCACTGCCGTCTTGTTTGTCTCCTCCTTGTCCCCATTTTACACCTGGGGAAACTGAGGCCCCGCGGTCACCCATCAGAAGCTGGGGCGGGTGGCCGGTGAGCTACAGAGATATCCGAGACCCATCCTGAGTCCAGCCCACTGAACCAGTCTCTAGGGACAGGAGGGCAACAGCGTGACACCGGGCAGTGGAGTCCACTTGAGGGCGGGTTCCGCTCTCTGTTAGCCGGGAGGAAGCGGAGTTTTCTAGAACCTGGGAGTTGGGCTCCCAAAGATTTCTGACACCCTGGCCACCCCCGTCCACCCCAGTCCACCTCCCAGTCCAGGGCGGAACCCCTAGCCCGGCTCACCACCTGCACTGCCCGCAGGGTGGGAGGAGAAAGCTCTCCCCAAAGCAGGTTCGAGGCAGGGCAGCCTGTGTTCCCCCGTGGGCAAGCGTAATCCCCGGACCACCTGCTAGTGGCCCAGCACTCCAAGGGGAACCCAGACAGGGACTCCCCAAAGCTGCCCGTTCAGCCTCACGACCGCAGGCTCACGGTTTGGTGTGGCTGGTGCAGCTGCCAGGCCAAGAGACATCCGGGGAGGAGGCGGGGCCAGGTGGCCACTCAAAACGGTCAAGGGCACCATGGCAACCTTTCCCTTTCTTGTTTCAAAAGTTTGTTTATTTGAGAGTCAGAGAGAGATTGAGATCTTCCATCCTCTGGTTCACTTCCCAAAGGGCCACAATAGCTAGGGCTGGGCCAGGAGCCCGGAACTCAATCCAAGTGTCCCGCGTGGATGACAGGGGCCCAAGCACTTGGCCATCGCCTGCTGCCTCCCAGGAGGCGTGAGCAGGGAGCTGGATTGCAAGGAGGGCAGCCGGGCACTCTGATATGGGACGTAGGGGTCCCCAGTGGTAGCTTCACCCGCTGCATCACAACGCCAGCCCCAGCGCACCCCCATTTTTACAAACCAAGGCTGGGGGTGAAAAGCCTGTTTCATGTGAGCCACCCCCAGCCTGACCCACATTCCCAAATGGAGCTCGGTCAGGACACTCAGGGCCAGCATCCTTCCCCGAGAACAGCCACAGCACCGGGCACCCTAGGAACGTGGCTGGGGCCCTTTGGACGTGTGGTCACGTGGGCCGAGCCAGCACATACAGCCACAAGAGCCGTTTTTCTAAACAGTAAATCTGATCTGGTAACCCTCCCCAGTGTGCAGGTCTGTGCCCTGGAGGGGCCCACGCTGCTCCTCCCCCACCCCGAGGGACCCCTCCCCCCAGTCTTGCCAATAAGGAGGCAAGTGCCTTCCAACCTGCTCCCCCCACGGCCTCACCCGTCACTCCTAGCACCGCCACTCATGTCCCACCCAGCTGAGTAATTACCTGATGGAAGCCCGCTCCCCCCAGGAATGTGGGCTCCATCCGCATCCACACCAGGGCTCTTCAGCCCCGGGGTGGGGAGGGGCCTCTGAACACCCCAAGGTGCTGGCCACAGATTCCCACTTCCCCAGTCCCAAGGCTGCATCGGCCCCTTCCTCGTAAGCCGGTGCCGTATCTGTGATCTGCCCTTGACGTCCCCTGGGCTTTAAATCACCCCTGGGTCACTTGAAACCCCGGGGTGCTTGTTCAGTCCACAGGCATTTTGGTAACGCATGCAATCTGCAATCCACTGTGGACACTGTGGTTGTGGAGTGCTGCCCGCATGCACTCGTGTGGCCCCTGCTGCCCTCGTCACCCCTCTCAGCCCCCTGAAACCAAAGCCCCTCTTCGCCACCCCACCCCCAACACACACTTCCAGAGGGTTCGCCCTAGGGGCCCAGCACACACACGGTTAACACCTGATTTCCTCCTGAGGAGCTGGGGTGGGGGTAAGGGGCTCTGTCCAGACCCCACTCTCTAGTCCCTGAAATCCAAGGAACAGAGCCCTGCACTCACCCCGACCCAGCCCTGCAGGTCCAGTCAGCTGGGCCAGGACCCAGGACCCAAGAGCCTGCCACCAATACGGACGGTCAGAGCTGCCCGGAAGGACCTGACCACCATACTCGGGCAGCCCCAGTGCCCAGGCCCTGGCTGGGGTGGGCTCCAGGATGGCTACCATGAGTGCAGAGCTGGTGCCACCAGGGCTGCAGCACAGCCCTCTGGGATGGGGCTGGGGCTGGGATGGACAGGCGGTAGGGCAGAGTGGTCCCAAGGCTTCCACCTGTGTGCACGTGTGTGCATGTGTCGGGGACACACTTACATCTGTGCCTTGAGTTAAAATTGAAAGAGACTTCCAAAGAATTCTTTTCCCTGTTTTCCAACTTTCTAGAATCCCATGTCACATGTAATGTAAAAAACTCCCCCTCCCCCGACACCCGAATTCATATCTGCTGTAGAAACCTTGGAAAATGCAGAGTAGTGAGGGGGATCCCAGCAAATGGCCAGGAAGCCCAACACTGCCATTCAAAACCATGCACGCTCTTAGGAGTCTGTGCGTTTGAGAACACAAAATTGGATCAGGACAAACGCTGGATTGCAGAATCTGATGTTTTCCCAGCACGGGGTGAACCTGTAAGATGGGAAACCACAGCCCCAGCCCTAGGCCACTGCACACCCTACCCCTCCCCAGCATCCTGGCAACTCCGAGCAGCCGGCAGTGGGTACCAGGTCAGAGGGGAAATCCAGGGTCCCAGGAAATCCAGCTCCAGGTGTTCGCACGGAGCTGGCATCTGGGCAGCCCCAGGGGACGGTGTCCCCGCTCAGAAGCGGAGCTGAGTCTCCCTTGCTCTCCTTGTGGGGGCGCTCAGAGACCTAGGGCTGTAACCGGGGTGTTCTTCACCTGGAGGGGGGGTGGCCAGGGCAAGATCAGAGATGCCAGGGCTTCTCCCAGCCCCGCTGAGCTCAGGGAGCCCTGGGCTGCATCTTCCCACACCCTGCAGCCTTGGCCTCCCAAGCTCTGGAGGCTCCCGGGTGGAGAAAGGCCGAGAGAAGAATCCAGTGCTTTGCCAGGAATGCCAGGAATCTCTTAGCCGCCCCCACCCGATTCCATTGGCCACAGTCTGTCCTCAGCCCCCACCACCGTCCCCTCCGGGGAGAAGAGGCTGTGAGGGGCGGGCAGGGTGGCACAGGCCTGTACTTACAAAGAAGAGCAAGTTGAACAGGAAGAGGAAGTATTTGGTGACTTTGACACAGGCTGCCCCCATGCTGCTGGTCCTGGAGCTCCCTGAGGACGAGAGAGGAGACAGGTAGGTCAGTGCAGGGCGGCCGGGGGGCGCAGCCCAGGCCGAGAGCACCCGCTGCCCAGCCCGGTCAGCTCAGCTGGCTCCCGCAGTGACTGCACGAGGTAGGGACGAACACTGTCCCCACTTTAGGGGACACTGAGGCCCACAGAGGCTGGATGAGCGGCACCCGCCCCGCACCTAGGAAGTATGGCCCACAAGAGGCATCGGCCACCTGACGCCTGGCTGTCAGCAGGTGGCTCAGCCACTCCAATGGGGCTGCGGCTGGTGGGGAGATTATGAGGCGAGACGCTCACTTCCACAACCTCGGCTCCGAAACCGGCCCTGATGGACTCTGGCGAAAAGCAGGAGGCTGAGGCTGGCGGCTGACTGACAGAACCCAGAGGGGAGACCCCCAGAGTCCCCCCAGCGCAGGGGCTGCGGGGGCTGCTGACGCGAGCAATTCTGCCTTCTCAAAAACGGACGGCGCGGCCCCCTTCTTGTTACGACAAAGGCAATAACCAGGCACCGAGGAGCGCCCAAGAGATACAGAGAATCACAAACCGTCCTCTCACCCAGACGTAAAACCACCAGCATGTTAGGAACCGTCGTGTCAGAGTGTGCATGTGGGCGTGCGTGTGTGTAAAACATGTGAGCGTGCATATACATGTGCTGCTGTGCCTGTGCATATAACATGTGTTGTGTAACACGTGGGTGTGCACGTGTATAACATGCACAACACATGTGTAAAACATGAGTGTGTATGTAAATAACATGTGAGCATGCATGTGGGTGGATGACATGTATTGTGAAGCAGTATGAGTGTATATTTAGAATGTGAGTTGTATATTTGTAGATAATTTGTGTGCAGGTGCATATAAAACATGTGAGTGTGCATATATGTCACTGATGTGTATACAACATGTACGTAACATGTGTGCATGTTTGTATATAACATGTGAGTGTACATGTGTGTATGTAACATGAGTTATGTATATGTGTGAATTACATATGTGTACATAATATGTATTTGTAAAATGTATGTGTGTATGTAAATATTGAGTTGCAGGTGTGTACAGAACATGAGAGTATGTGTGTATATAACATGTGTATATAATATGTGAGTGTGCATGTTTGTGCATGTGAGTCATGTATATAATGTGAACATGCATGTGTGTGATATGTAAAGCACATGTGAGTATATATAATATGTGAGTTGCATGTGTGTATAACTTGTGAATGTGCATAAGAACATGAGTGTGCATGTGCATAATGTGTCACTGTGCATATGCATATATAACATGTATTGTGTAGCATGAGTGTGCATGTGCATAACATGTGTGTATTGTACATGTGTGGATAATGTGTGAACATGCATGTGTGTAGGTAACATGTGTATGCAGAGCACATGAGTGCATATATAGAATGTGTGAGCTGCATGTGTGTATATAACATGTGTGTGCATGTGTAGATAAAACATGAGTGTGTGTCACTGATATGCATATATAACATGCATGTGTGTAACATGTGTGTGTGCATAGTGTCACATGAGCATGCATGTGTGTATACATTTATGCATGTAATGTGAGTTATGTATATAAGTGTGAATGTGCATACAATGTATGTATATATGTGAGTTGTATGTGTATATGATATGTGTGTAACACATGTATATAGCATGTGAGTGTCTGTGCATGTGAGTTATGTAACATGTGAACGGGCATGTGTGTAGATAACATGTATATGTAAAGCACATGTGAGTGTGTATATTAAAGGTGTGGGCTGCATGTGTGTATATAACACATGAGTGTGTGTGTGTAAAACGGTCTTAAACAAAGCTGGGCTCGTCCTGTATGGAGTGTTAAGCTGCCTGCCGTCTTCATTCCACTACACGCAATGTCTGTGCGCTGATGACACGCCCCCTTGTGCAGCAGAACTGTACCGGGATCCCGTCGTGTCGCACGGGACTCCAGCCTGCTGGGCAGCGTACATCAGCACCATGGAGCTTAGAGGCTCCCCAGAAAAGACGCACCTGGACAGCTTTTAACAAACACTTGCTAGGGGCTTGTGGAGCCCATAAAACCCCCTCAGCTCCCCAGTAACCATAGGTAAAAGCCCCGGGCGCAAGCAGACCACGGGGCCCTCAGCCACGGCCCTAGGGCTGGACACACGGGTGATTTCCAAGCGTTCACCATCTCCTTGGGTGACACGCGATGCGCTTCTGAAATGACACAAACAGTGCCAAGCGTGCTGTGCCCCTCCTCACTGGACGATTCCAAGGGGCTTCTGGGAAGGAGAGAGGAGCCAGAGGGTCCTTCCTTCTTTGGGCAGCTTTGCCTTCGGCTGTCCCTCCGTCTGCCCTTGGGAAAGGCACCTGTGGAGCTTGGTGCCCAGCGGTCTGCCAGAGGCCAGCGCTGCACCCCTGGGGAGGCCAGCCCTCCCCAGGGCCACCTGCTTGGCACATGTGCAGAGCCCCAACCAAGCTCCGAGTTAAGCCACCACCTGGGACATCAGCATCCCATACGAGCCGCAGCTCGAGTCCCAGCTGCTCCACTTCTGATCCAGCTCCCTGCTAATGCGCCTGGGAAGGCAACAGAAGATGGGCCAAGCACTCGGGCCCCTGGCACCCATGTGGAGTTCTGGGCTCCTAGATTTAGCCTGGCCCAGACCTGGCTGTTGTAGACATTTGGGGAGTGAGCCTTCCCCTCTCTCTGTTGCTCTGCCTTTCAAACACTGAAATACATACTTTTTCATTTTTAAAGGCAAAGCTGGAGGCAGGCTGCCCATACCCCTCCCTTGAGGCCAGACAATCCCAGAGTGACAACTGCCAGCCCTCGGACCCAGTGGAGCAGAGGGAGTCAGTGCAGGGTGGCTGGGGCCAGGACAGCTGACCCGGGACAGCTGCATGGGCAGGGCCGGCCTAGGGGGCTGGGGGCAGGCACCAGGCCCAGCTGTTTCCCCGCTGCCCTGGAGAGGGATTGCAAAGGGGCCACAGAGCAGAGGGGAAACGGGGCCTGAGGCCCGAGCGCCCCCTTTCTCCCTCCTGCACTGTGTGCAGGGCTGTGCTGGGTCCTCTCGCCCATTTCTAGACATGCTAACCATCAGCATTCCCATTACCTCCTAGCCGAGGGGGAGCTTGTCTGGGGCTCTGCACATGTGCCGAGCAGGTGGCCCTGGGGAGGGCTGGCCTCCCCAGGGGTGCAGTGCTGGCCTCTGGCAGACTGCTGGGCACCAAGCTCCACAGGTGCCTTTCCCAAGGGCAGACGGAGGGACAGCCGAAGGCAAAGCTGCCCGAAGAAGGAAAAGGTTGTCTGGGCGGTGGTGAGCTCCCTGTTAGAAGAGGCATGGAAGCAGCATGTGGCTAAATCTTTCCAGGTGATTCGAGTGCTATGTTAGGGGATGAGACTGGATGGGTCTCCCAGGGCCCGAGGCCAGGGGCTGGGACTCACACAGGCAGGGGTGACTCTGGAAGCCCAGCCTTGACCCCTCCTGCTGGGCCCTGCCTGGACTGCAGGAGGAGAAAACGGGGGTCCCTCATGCCAGGTCCCGGAGGTCTGAGAAACCCACGTCAGGTCAGGTCGGAGGAAGGGCTGGGGGACATGGGGGTCTGGCCTCCAGCTCCAACACTTGTCACGCAGTGGGTGCCCCCTTGGACCTGCCTGAGCCAGGGCCAGTGGATTTTTCTTTCCTACCAGGAACGCAGTTGAATGGTCTCCCAGAACGAGGCACAGGCCACGTCCCAAGGGGCAGTCCCAGGCTCAGTGCCCAAGTGGCCACAGATGAGCCACACTTCCCATGGCGATTTCATCTCACCACGCATCCCAGGGGCCAGGAGAGCATCTTGAGAATGGGCCAAGCGTGGCCAGAGCCCCTGGCAGCCCTGTGTGCAGCCCTCGCTGGTGCCCAGCCCCGGAGAGAAAGGTGGGAGAGGTTTCTCCAGCCCTGGCTCTCACGGCCTCTACAGAGGGCGTCTCCAGAGCTGCCTCGCGGGTATCGGGGTGCTGGGAAAAGTCCTAGTGTGAACGAGGGCGTGCAGGGGGTGGAGTCAGCTGCGGGCAGCCGCTCCCATGCGTCACTCTCTCTTAAAATTGTTTATGTGTCTTTGAGAGCCAGAGAGATGTAGATACGCATGCGCGCGTGCACACACACACACACACACACACACACACACACACGGAAGTTCTCATGCACTTATTCATTTCCCAAATCCCCACAATGGCTGAGGCTGGGCCAGGCCAAAGCTGGGAGTAGGGGGCTGAGTCTGGGTCTCTCGTGGGAGTGGCAAGGACCCCACCATTGGAACCATCACCTGCTGTCGGCCAGGATGGGCATTAGCAGGAAACTGGAATTGGGAGTGGCACTGAGACTGAAACCCAGGTATCCCAGTGCCGTCATCTTAACAGCATCTCCACGGCCAGGCCCAGTGCCTGACCTCCCCCTCCTCCTCCACGCTCACCCCAGCCTGTAGGCGGCTGCTCCTGTGCCCAGGGAAGCCGGGGCTCACACATGCCCAAGTCTCACAGATCATGGGCTGTGTGCTGGGTGTCGGAGCCCCACATCTTTCCACTGCCAAGTGCCCACCTCTCAGGGAGAAGCCAGGGCTCCACAGGGCTGGCTGGGCTGCTCTGTCCAGGTTGGGGCTGGGTTCAAGGTTGGGGCTCGAAGGGGCTCAGCTCGGCCAGCAAGCAGGAGCCTGGCAGCCCTCACTGCCACCTGCCGAGGTGGTCTTCCCACTAGTCTAGACTGGGGTACCCACTGTCCCCAGCTGGGCTCTTGTCACTCACACAAGGGCCCGAGGACCAGCTCACAGCCCTATTTCTCCTACAGCTGTGAGCTAAAAACACATTTTACCTTTTTTAAATAGCTGGGAAAAAATAAGAAGATTTTTGTCATGGATGAAAATTATATGGAATTCAAACGTCTGTGTCTGTAAATTAAGTTGCATTATTGGCATAAGGCCACGCCCCCGGCTGACAACTGTGGAGACTGGCGGGCCCTTTGAGGCAGAAGGGGTCGAGGGGTGCATGGACAAGTGTCTGTAAGATGCAGTGAGTGTCAGGCTGAAAGGGTGATCGTAGCAGCAGGAACCAATGCTACTTAGCGAGAGGATTCCTGGACAAGTGCTGGAAATTCCTGCTCTGCCAGCAGGTGGCCACGGGGAAGGGACCTTTTAGGCCTCATTCTCTTCCCTGCGAGGATGCACCTGCTGTGGTCCCAAGAAGGTGAGGTCAGAGCCTGGCACGGTCAGGGCTCAGCAAGCCGGACCTGGGGTGAGCGTCTTTTAAAATATACATATTATATTTATATATATAATATATATAATTACTTTTTTCACTCTTGTTTATGTATTTTCATTTTATTTGAAAGGGAGAGAGACAGACACAGAGAGAGAATGTCCTCAAACGTCCCCAACGGCCAGAGCTAGGTCAAGGCCAAGGTCAGGGGCCGGGATCTCCATCTGGGTCTCCCACGTGTACTTGAGCCACATCAGCAGCTCCCAGGGTGTGCATTAGCAGGGAGCAGAGGAGCTGGGGCTCCAACTGTGCTGCAGGCAACTTAGCTGCTGTGTCAGACACCCGGCCCCGGGGTTAGCGGCTTCCTACCTCTGCTATTAGTCTGTCGGGCACTTGAAGAAGTGAGGGGCGGCTGTGGCAGGTGCATCTAGCAAACAGAGCATCCCCAGAGCTGCGCTCTCTTGTACACACTTCCTGCAAATGTCGAGCGGCTGACCACGGCCCCCTGCTCAGCAAGTTAGAGAAGCTGACCACACAGGGGCAGAGAGGCAGGCGGGACCCCAGGCAGAGCTCCCAAGGAGCCCTGGGGCACCGTGTGGGCTGAGGACGGAGGAGCTGAGTGTGCGCTGTGCTCTGTGGCAGGTGCATTCGCGGATTCTAAACAGCTACAGCTCAACTTGATCAGATGGATCATTTTGTACCAAGTCCGTCTACACACTGAGATGATTACACCAGTGTTTAGGAGCGTCCACTCATTTTCCGAGAATCACCTCCAACAACCCCTCTCCCAAGAAACCTCCTGGCCTTGTCGACTCTGCCCCCTTGGCCCCCAAGACACCTGCTGGTTGGGGCACTTCCGCCACCACAGGATAGTGGAGCAGCTCCCCACACTGGCACCAGACTGCCTGGGTTTTCATCACCTCCTTGCTCTGTGACCTTGGACTTGACCTCTCTGAGCTTCACTGTACTCAGCTGCTAAACGAAGAAGACAGAAGGTATTTGACAGGCTCGTCCTGACAGTCAGCTGGATAATGTGGGGGAAAGGCCTGGCGAGTGGTAGGATGTCGATCTGTGGTGGCTACTATAACTCAGCACAACCCACACTAGCGCTGTGCCCCCTGGCCCACTGCCCTGTGGCCTGTGATACGAGAGAGTTTCCTACTCATGAGAACAAAGTAGACCCCCAGTGAACATTGTCAATGAAAGACTAGCTGGATAGAAGGGTGAACAGATGTGGGCATGGGCGGATGAGCAGGTGGATGAGTGGGCTGTTGGATGGGTAGCATAGCTGGGTGGAAGGATGGGTGGATGGATGGATGGATGGATGGATGGAGGGATGGATGGTCATGTGGGGAGAAGGCAGTATGCATGAGTGGATGGCTATGTGGGTGGATGGGTAGATGGAAGGATGTGTGGGCAGATGGCTGGGTGGGTGGATGGGTGGCTTGGCGGGTGGACAGATGGATGGATGGAGAGAGGAGGGAGTGGGACTGCCACTAAGGATGCTGGGACTTTGAGTGCTCAGCCACCTGCAGGAGTCTACCATCTACAGCCCCTGAGACACCTGAGTCTATGTTCAGGTCTCTTCTGAGGGTGCTGGTGGTGGACGAGTGGGGTGAGCACCTTGAGCCAGCTCACAATGCCAGGATGGCCACCAAGCTTCCCTCCCCTCCCCGCCCCTGGAGCCGCTGGGCACAGGAAGCAGAAGTGGGGAGAGGGCGCGCCTCCACAAGAACCCCTTCTTTGCACGGGGCCCCCTGTGAGCCTGCATCTGAGGATGGCACAGGGGCCTGCTGGCCTGACTCGAGGGCCCAGATATTCCTCCTCAGCCTAGGGGGGCCCAAGTGGTGCAGGGGCCACAGCACCTCCAGCCCCAGAGTCAGGTGCAGGCTCAACCCCTGCTTGGATAGGACACGTGGTAGGTGACGTCACACAGGGGCCCGCCCCCTGGACCCACCTCCTCACCTGTCCACTGGCAGACTTGGCGCAGAGCAGTGTTTTCCGGAGCAGCTTCTCAGAGGATGGTCCTGGAAGACAGACACATTGTTTAGAACAAAGGTTCTGCTGTCCCAGCTGGGGGAGCGCCAGGCCTCCGTCCCGAGAGACGCTGGATGACACCACGCTGTCCACGGCCCCGAGACAGCCAGCAGCGAACGCCAACCCGGAGTCCTCCATAGGCTCCCAGGAGACCGCTCTCACGTGGAACACGCCGGAGGGGACCCCAAGGCAGAGAAGGGGAGTCAGCAGCCCCTCCACCCACCGCGGGGCTCAGGGCAGACACCTAAGAGCCGTGCCTGGGTCTCTTCTCCAATCCAGCACTCCTCCTGGCTCCACGCCTGCTTCCATGGAGCCCAGCACACCTTCCTGCCCGCACCAGACTCCTCCTCCACACGGCAGGGGGGCACCTTGAAACAGCTCAGGCCACTCTTCCATGCACCTGCCTGAGTTCTCAACTCCAGCTGCACAGTGGAGTCAAGACATGACAAAGCCCAGTGCCCTGGCCCTACCCAAGTCCTCAGAATGTCCAGGCGTGTGGCCTGGTCCCCAGGGGACGCTGCAGCACAGCCAGGTTTGACCTCTGGGTCTGTCATGTGGTCCCATTGCAGTGACCTGACCTGCTCACTGACGTGCCTGGGCCCCCTCCTAGATGTGGGTGCCTTAAGGCAGGGGCCCTGCCTGGCTCACTGACCCCGGTACAGCACCTGGTGTGCAGTGAGCGCTCTGTGTGTACGTGTAGGAACAAGCAAAGGAAACGGGGTCTGGAGACGGCAGGAAGGGTTTCCAAGAGGAGACAAAGACAGACTGACTTTGATCCTGCAGCTGGACAGTTCCGGTCCTTAGAAATGAACTCTCTGGCTAGAAACGGCATCACTGAGCAGTAATGATGTCACTGGCCAGAAATGACATCACTGGAGAGTACTGACATCACTGGGCAGTAATGATGCCATTGCGTAGTAATGATGTCATTGCATAGTCATGACGTCACTGGTCAGTAATGATGCCATTGGTAAATAATGATGTCACTGGGTAGTGATGACATCATTGGCTAGTAATGATGCCACTGGCTGGCAGAAGGGCTGGGACTGTGGTGTCCCCCAAAATGGTGCCCCCCCAAAGACTGGATTTGAATCCCCTTGAGCCAGAGAAGTGGATCGGAGCTGTAGATGCCCTCCCTGGAAAGACACTCGCAGAGTGGCAGGCAGGTGCTTCCCTCCTGTCTTAGGGACCACAGATGCCAGAAAGTCCACTGGGGGGCCCAGGTCCCCTGCTCCCAAATGCCTAGAGCGTGGTCCCCACACTCACTGGAAAGGGGCTGGATCCCTGTTGCCAGGGATCCTGGGAGCTGCTCCGGGTGCAGCCTGGGAATCGGGGCCTTTTCAGCTCCCCAGGGGGCTCTCAGGAGACTTGGGATGCGCGCAGGCCTGGGTGTCACAGCGCAGAAGTGCCTGGCACCTGTGCGTGGAGCTCCCTGCACCTCTGTTCCAGCACTGCTCCTCGGGGGTCAGTGACCCCAGAGCAATCGCACAGTGCACGTGACCTTGCAGAGACCCCCGAGTTCTCTCAGAGCTCAGAGCCTGCAGGTGCACAGCAAGTTCAGGCCGAGCACCAGCTGGAGGACGGGGAGACTCCCTGCCCAAGCCTGGAGCCCCTCTCTCTCCACCTGTAACCCGCCCTGTTCCCCTGGCCTCCCACGTGGTGGAGTGGGGTAAAGAAGCCTGGACTCAGAGCTGCACAGCCGGCTCCCCCCGGCTCTGCCATGGCCCTGACCCGGGGCGTCTTCCTCAGCAGGGAATGGGGACCCTGACCCTGCCCACCACACCCGTGTGACGTGAACTGGCACACAGTAGGGCTCAGTCCCTGCTGATGGCCTGGCCCTCTCCTCCCACTCTCTCCACCTGAAGACACCTTGTCTGCCACATCCTGCCAGTGATGTGGCCTCGGACAATCATTTCGCCTCTGAACCTCAGCTTTCCCACCTGTAAAATGGACTTAATAACGGGTTATGGTGAGGCTTAAAGGAGTTGGTGCCTGTGATGGGCCTGGACCCAGTAAGCGCCAAATAAATGTTGATGATGATGACGATGGTGGCGATGATGATCGTCCGGAAGCTGTCAATTTCCTGACCACAGCCTCCATGGAGCCACCGTCTGAGGCCTTGATCCGGCCTCCAGCTGTGGAATGACCACTGCTGCTCCGGGGCAGCCTAAGGCAGGGCGGGGGGAAGTGGCGGGGGGGCGGGGGGCAGGCTCTGCCCTCTGCGCGGGTGGGGCCGCACTAGCCTGCCCGAGGCTCAGCGCTCCAGCCTGTTGGGTGAGTCTGCAACCGATCCCGTGGGAGCCCTGCCCGCCCACTCAGGCAGAAAGTGGAGGAGAAAGCCTGGCACAGCCGTCCCGCCCTGGGAGGCGGCGGAACGCAGGCGCTGCACCTGCAGGCTGGCCTCTGGCCTCCTGGACTTTGTCCGGCTCGCCCAGGGAAAGAGGCGGGGCCCAGGCGGCTGTGTTTGCGTGTTTGACAGGTGATATGTTTCCTGAGCAGCCAGCTGACTCTGGGGGCCTGGCTTTCTGACCTCTCCGTAATCTTATTTTTTAATCTCTGCTCTTAACTTCTTGTTGTTGCTGTTAAAACCAGAGTTTGGGTGGGGGTGGAGGGGGGGTAGACAAAGCTGTAACTGGGAATCTACAAAGCAGGACTAGGAACTCCAGTGTCCCCTAAGACCCAGCTCTGCCTTCCTTCTTGCTGCGTGACCTTGAGCAAGGCAGCCACTCAACCTCCCTGTGCTTCCGCATCCTCGCCTTGAACTTGGAGCTGCTGGCAGGACCCCCGTCTCATAGGACTGTCCAAGGAGAGAGCTTTGGGGTCCTGGCTGCGGCTCACACCCACATAAGTCTTTCCCAGGGATCACGGGGTGTGACAGCCCAAAGGGTCGCCCTGTGTGTCCTACAGATGTGGGGCTCCAAGGCTCATTAAGGACCCGGGTGATGGGTTCCCACTCTCCTGCGGGTCCTGCATCCTGCAGCTGAGACTGACCCCCTGCTAGGGGGAAGGAGACCATGAGTACAAGCGCAAGACAGGCTGGTGGCCAACTCCAGCCAGACGGCAGCTGAGGAGTGATGCGCTCGTAGCCTCGGCCCCCTGCTCATTTAGTCTCTGTGACCCTCCTCAGATGGACGATTACCCCCATTTGACACATGCACACACTGATCCCCAGGGGCTCGGGGGCTTGCCTAGGGCCACGTACATAAGTGGCTGAGCCACGCTTAAAATTCAGTTCGGACTGAAACCTGCGGAGACTTTCCTCCTCATCTGCTGCCCGGGTGAGCGAGGTGGGCGGTGGAGCCCACCCACCCCAGCCTCCCCCACCCCAGCCTGCCCCAGCCCCCTGAGGCCTGACGCTTGGCTTCCTGTTAGGAAGGAAAAGACCAGCTCCACCAATCCTGGCCGGGATGTTCCTTGTTTGACTGATGAGGTTGACAGATGTGGCCCTCCCCAGGGCAGGTTCCGAGCCCAAGCAGAGACTACAGGGGCCTGCCCACGGAGGAGGGGGCTGCTCCAACTGGAAGGTGCACAGCGCAGAAGAGCAGACACCTGGACTTTCCTACCCGGCCCCCGCGCAGCCAAACCCTCAAGCTGAGGCTGAGCCATAGCTTCTGAACTCCCGCTCTCCGTGGCTCCCTTTTTTGGTGGTTTCTGGCCTTCGCAGCAGGCTGCTTGGTCCCCATACAGCCCCGTGCCGGGCTCTGAGGTTCACATACTCAGACTCCCACGGTGCCCAAAAGGCCTTTGACATCCCCTAGTTCAGTCTGCATTTCTCAGATGAAGGCACTGTAGCTTAAGAGACCACGGCTGCCTACCCTCCTGGGGAATCTGTAGGCTCAGTGTGCAGGACGGGAGCGGTCAGCATTTCCTAACCTGTTTCCCATCGTGATGCCTGCAGAGAAGTGCGTAGGTTTGTTCTGCAGGCTGGGGTGGACAGCCAGGACTCAGCCTGCCCAAAGAGACCAGTAAGGGCTCTGTCCCTGAGGGCCGAGGAGGTTAACTTGCGACTCATTTGGCACGTGGGCTGGGAAGCATTAAGTTACAGGGGCATTGAGCAGCTTTCCAGAAGATTCCAGGGCCCTAGTGATAGGACACAGATTCCCAGGTGGGCTCTCAGGAATCAGTCACCTTCCAGGGACTTCTCCAGGGCCCATGGCTGGAGGCAGAACACCGTGTACTTTGACCTGGGAGACCTAAAGTCCAACCCCATTTCTCAGCACGGTGTGACCTTCACCGAGTCACCTACCCACCCCGAGCCTCAGTGTCCTTGTGTGTAAAATGGGCCATCAGGGCCAGGGGTTGCTGCAAGTGGGTTAAGCTGATGCTTGGGATTCCCACATCCCATATTGTAGGGCAGGTTCGAGTTCTGTCCTCTGCTTCCAGTTTTTTTTGACAGGCAATGAGAGAGAGAGACAGAGAGAAAGGTCTTCCTTTGCCGTTGGTTCACCCTCCAATGGCTGCCACGGCCAGCGCGCTGCACTGATCTGAAGGCAGGAGCCAGGTGCTTCTCCTGGTCTCCCATGGGGTGCAGGGCCCAAGCACTTGGGCCATCCTCCACTGCACTCCCAGGCCACAGCAGAGAGCTGGCCTGGAAGAGGGGAAACTGGGACAGAATCCGGTGCCCCGACCAGGGCTAAAACCCGGTGTGCTGGCACCACAAGGCGGCCTGTCCTCGCTTCCAATCCAGCTTCCTTCTCATGCATCCTGGGAGGGAGGCAGTGGCGATGACCCAAGTGCTTGGGCTCCTGCCACCCACATAGAGACCTGGATGGAATTTTGGGCTCCTAACTTTAGCCTGGCCCAGCCCTCCTGGCTCTTGTGGGCATCTGGGAAGTGAACCAGTAGATGGAAGATTTCTGTCTCTCTCTCTCTCTCCCCCTCCCTCCTTCCCTCTCCCCCTCTCCCCCTCTCTCTCACCATTCTGCATTTTTTTTTAAACAGGCCATCAAAGCTCGCCCAGGAAAAGAGCAGAATCAGCTTGCCAAGCCCT